TTTTTGACAGAGTCTTGCTCTGTCGCCAGGCTGGAGTGCAGTGACATGATCTTGGCTCACTGCATCCTCCACCTCCTGGGTTCAAGCAGTTCTCCTGCCTCAGCCACCCAAGTAGCTATGAGTACAGCCGCATGCCACCACACCTAGCTAATTTTTGTATTTTTAGTAGAGACGGAGTTTCACCATGTTGGCCAGGATGCTCTCGATCTCTTGACCTCGTGATCCACCCGCCTCGGCCTCCCAAAGTGCTGGGATTACAGGTATGAGCCACCATGCCTGGCCTGAGTCTACTTTCTTAAGGAGACTTCTTTTTTAATAAGTATTTCTCCATTATGAATATAGTAGCATCATTAGCCGGGCTCAGTGGCTCATACCTGTAATCCCAGCACTTTGGGAGGCTAAGGTGGGTAGATCATGAGGTCAGGAGTTCGAGACCAGCCTGGCTAACATAGTGGAATCCCATATCTACCAAAAATTAAAAAAATTAGCCGGGCATGGTGGTGCATGCCTGTAATCCCAGATGCTCAGGAAGCTAGGCAAGAGAATCGCTTGAACCTTGGAGGCAGAGGTTGCAGTGAGCTGAGATCACACCATTACACTGTAGCCTGGGCAACAGAGTAAGACTCTGTCTCAAAAAAAAAACCCAAAAAACAAAAAAAAACTAAAAAAGAAAATATTAGCATCATATTACTGAAAACTTAGAAAGAGCCAGGGAGGTTTATTCAAGGAACTAACAAACCTGGGTTTTTGTTTGTTTTCTGAGACAGGGTCTCACTCTGTCACCCAGGATGGGTGCAATTGGTTTGGTGCAATTGCATTGGTGCAATCATAGCTTCACCCTGACCTCGATCTCCTGGCCTCAAGCAGTCCTCCCACCTCAGCCTCCCAAAGTGCTGGGATTACAGGTGTGAGCCACTGCATGTGGCCACGAACCTGGGTTTTGAATTCTGGTTCTGCCACTTTGTGACTGGGTAACCTTGGGTGAGTGTCTGCCCTTGTGTTAGCCTCAGTGACCTAATATCTAAAACTGATATACAGTGCCTACCTTGCAAGTGCTCGGAAAGATACAGCATGCAAAACGTGTAACCCGGGGTGGGGCACCAAGAAAGAGCTCCATATGTAATGGCTGCAATTATTTACAAAAGATTTCATTCAGTCACTCGGTGGCCATTGAGAAGGCTTGCAGCCTTTTTTCTTATACACAGGAATTGGGTTGAATCACAATCGTACCACAGTCTGATGCTATTTTTACTGGACTCTTCTAAACATTCTTTGCTACTGGCTCATAATATCCCACTGTGGGGCTTACTTCACCCACTCTGAGAGATGGCATTCATGGAGAAAAGCCAGGGCTTTGGAAGGGCTTTGGAGACATCCCCTGCGCCCTGACACCCACTGAGGCAACGAGAGGGGTCCTCTGAACACCTGAGTCAGATCACATCTCTCCCCCGCTCAGAGCCCTACTGATCCTCTCACTCAGGGGAAAGCCAGAGACCTCCTGGTGGCCCATGAGACCCCACGTGACCCGCCCTTCACCTCTCTGTCCTTATCTCTCACTACGTGCCCTCACCCATGGCTGGTTCAGGCATGAAGCTTCTGCGCTGTTCTTTGTTTTGTTTTTTGAGATGGAGTCTTGCTCTGTCGCCCAGAGTGGACTGCAACCTCTGCTTCCCAGGTTCAAGCAATTCTCCTGCCTCAGCCTGTGGAGTAGCTGGGACTACAGGTGCCCACCACCACGCCCAGCTAATTTTTGTTTTTTTAGTAAAGGCCGGGTTTCACCATGTTGCCAAGGCTGGTCTTGGGCAGCTGACCTCAAGTATCTGCCCACCCTGGCCTCCCAAAGTGCTGGGATTACAGGTGTGAGCCACCTTGCCCGGCCTCTACACCATTCTTTGAACATTTCAGTCATGTCCCCAATTCAGGGCCTTCTTACTGCCTGCTCCCTCGACCTAGAACATTCTTCACCCAGGGAAGGGGCCCTATAGCCCCTTCTCTCCTTCCTTCAGGCCTTACCCAGATGACACTTTCTCAGGGAGCCTTCCCCTTGACTAGCATAAAATTACAATCTACCTCCACATATTACTCCCCGCACCCCAAGCCAAGGGCCTGCAGAAGTTTTTTGGTAAAGGACAAGATATTAAATATTTAAGATTTGCAAGCCACATAGCCTCCGTCGAAGCTACTGGACTCCGCCATCACACAAAAGCAGCCGTAGACTTTAGGGGACCCAATGAGTGTGTGTGTGTTTCAGTAAAACTTTACAGAGGCCTGGCTCGGTAGCCCATGCTCGCACTTCGGGAGGCTGCGGCAGGAGGATTTCCTGAGGCCAAGAATTCAAGACCAACATGGCCAACATAGTGAGACCTCATCTCTAAAAACCAAACAAACTTATAGACACTGAAATTTGAAATTAATATAACTATAACTTTCTTTTTTTTATTTTCTGAGACAAAGTTTCCTTCTTGTTGCCCAGGCTGGAGTGCAGTGGCACGATCTCAGCTCACCTGCAACCTCCACCTCCTAGGTTCAAGCAGTTCTCCTGCCCCAGCCTCCCGAGTAGCTGGAATTATAGGCACCTACCACCACATCAGGTTAATTTTTGCATTTTTAGTAGAGATGAGGTTTCACCATGTTGGCCAGGCTAGTCTCGAACTCCTGACCTCAGGTGATCTGCCTGGCTTGGCCTCCCAAAGTGCTGGGATTATAGGTGTGAGCCACCTTGCCCGGCCAAAATTCATATAATTTACCAGAAAATATTACTTTGTTTTTGGTTTTGTTTTCCAGCCATTAAAAAATGTAAAAATTAACCAAGCATGGTTGCTTATGCCTGTAATTCCAGTGCTCTAGAAAGCCGAGGCAAAAGGATCACTTGAGTCTGGAAGTTTGAGACCAGCCAGGGCAATACAGCAAGATCCCATCTCTTAAAAAAATACTAAAATTAGCAGGGCATGGTGGTGCATGTGTGTAGTCCCAGCTACTTGGGAGGCTAAGATGGGAGGATTATCTGAGCCTGGGAGGTTGAGGCTGCAGGGAGCCACGATCACACCACTGCACTCCAGCCTGGTGACAGAGGTGAGACCCTGTCTGGAAAAAAA